AGGGAAAGAATGTAAAAAACCATCTGAAATGGGGCCAGCAGGTGACATGGAAGTTAAGGTGCTGGATCCTGCATACCCAGTTTTGAGGTTCGAGGCCCAGACCTGGCAGCTTGAATATCATGCCGGGTGCATGAGCATGTGTGTCCAGAATCCCAAGAGGAACGTGGAAGAGGGCGGATTGCAGGCCGTTCCCAAGGGGGATGATTTCTCACTTTCTCTCTCTCTGTCTCTCTCTGGTGAGCACATATACTCTTTAGCAAAAAATAAATAAGAATCTGAAGTGAATATATCTAAAGTGTGACATTTGGATATCCAGGTGGTAGGTGTGGGATGTTTGCTATAATATTGTTAACTATCCTGCATATTTGGAATATTTTGTGAATAAAGTTATTTTTTCTTGGTTTTTTGTTTGTTTTTTTTTGAGAGAGAGATTTTGGCTACAGGGCGCGCACGCTCGCCAGAAACACGCTCGCCAGAAAGACAGAGAGAGAGAGAGATACAGAAAGCGAGAAATCACCCCCCGGGGGGATGGCCACACCGCAGTTCTTTCTCTTCCATTCTCCTTTCAGGATCTTGGGCACGCTCGTATACACGCCTGTCATGAGTTTAAGCCACCAGGTCCGGGACTTGAACTGCGATCAACTACATTGGAGTCCAGCGACATAGCCATTATGCCAACTGCTGGTCCCTATTTTTTCTTTTTTTAAAAAGAATTACTAATTTAATTAATTAATTAATTATTATTTAAATTTGTAAAAGGGCATATGCCATGCACTCACCAGAGAGAGAGAGAGAAAGTAAGAAAGTGAGCCGTCAGGTCCAGGATTCAAACCACAGTCAGCCATGTGGGAGTCCATTGCCTTAACCACCATGCCACTTGCAGCCCCCAAATTCTCTTTTCTTAATTCAGGTCCTAAAGTTTCTCCTTTCTTTTAAAAAATGTGTATTTATTTATTTCTTCCATGAAAAAGAGATTGAGAGAGACAGACAGCTTACCCCAGCATCTCACGCACTTTGAACACAAGTAGACGTGTGTGCTATACCCGATCTGCTCAGAGAGGTCCTGGGACATGAACCCAGAACCTTTCCCGTGTGTGTCCAGTTGTGTTTCTGACATACCACCACTTGGCCCTAAATTTCTTCCTTCCTAAGTTCCCCTGTTTTCCATGACTTGAGAAACCCTTGACTCATCTTTCACCTTTATAAAAATGATTCCCAAATCTGATTTTTTTATCCTGTCTTTCCCAGCATCATTTCTTTTCTTTTTTTTTTTTTAAAGATAGATTTTTGCTGTAGGGCATATGTGCTCACAAGAGAGGCAGAGAGAGACGAAGAGACAGAAAGTGAGAGATCACCCTGCAGGGGTGGGATGACTATGCCACAACCTCTTCCCCTCCATTCTCCTCTCGGGATTTTGGGCATGCACGCGTATATGCCTTGTGTGAGTTTTAAGCTGCAGGTCCAGGGCTCGAATCATGGTAGATGACATGGGAATCCAATGATATAACTATTACACCATCTGCTGGTCCCTCCCAGTGTTGTTTCTTATTTTATTTTTATTTATTTATTTGAAGAAGTTTTTGCTATAGGGCACATGCGCTCATTAGAAAGAGAGAGACAGAGAGACAGAAAGTGAGAAATCACCCCTCGGGGGGGATGGCCATGCCACAATTCCTTCTCCTCCATTCTCCTCTTGGGATCTTGAGCACACACACATGTACCCGGCATGAGTTTAAGCAACCGGGTCCAGGACTTGAACCGTGCTCAACTACATGGGAGTCCAGCGATGTAGCGTCACTCATGTGCTGGTCCCTATTTATTTATTTTTAAAGAATTATTTTATTTATTTATTTATTTATTTTAATTTGACGTGAGAAAGAGAGAGAAGGAAAGTGAAAAAGCAAGCCATCAGGTCCAGGACTCAAACAGTAGTCAGCCATGTGGGAGTGCAGCACCCTTAAGCACCCTACCACCTTCTAGCCCCTATTTCTTTCTTTATTTTAGAAGTTTTGCCATTGGGTGCATGCACTCCCTAAAGAAAGGGAGAGACAGAGATAGCGAGAAGGAAAGTGAGAAATCACCTCCTGGGGGATGACCACACTGTAATCCCTTCTCCTCCTGAGATCTTGGGCACATATGCACACATGCCTGGTTTGATTTTCAAGCCACTGGGCCTGGGACTCGAACTGTGGTCAGCCATGTGAGAGGAGAGTCCAGCGATGTAACCACTATATATCATCTGTTGGCCCCTAGTTTTTTTTTTTTTTAAGTTGATTTTTTTTCTGAGAGAGAGAAAGGAGTGGGGGCATACCGCCAGCCTCAGCCAGCCCGGATCACCGGCACACCTGCGTGTGCCCAAAGTGTAGGGGAGATACTGGGACCTGAACCCAGGACCTTTCCATGTAGGTCTTGCATTACGGTGTTGTATAACCATGGCACAGCCATAGTTGGTCCACCCCCAGAGTCAGTTTCTTTATCTACACCCACTTAATGGCTGTTCCATTCCGTCAAATTCATCATCTAAGTCAATTATCTCTACCACTGTGTCTCAAAACAGCTCTTTCTTTTAATTTCCTGTTTCTGTCAGTAGCACTCTCAGTAAATGTTGGCTTTTATTTTCATTAGTCCTTTCAACTTTTACCTCTTCTCTTTCAATTCACCATACTCAGAACTGCCAATTTGTCTTCCGGAAATTCTGGGTTTTGTCATTTTTCTGAAATGCTGGTTTTTTCTGAAATGCTGTGTTGAATCTATTATTCTGGAGCTTGAAAACCTCATGGTGGCCCACTCCCAGCAGAAGGTGATCCAAAATCCTTAACCATTTGTGTACTGCCTCAAAGGCTGGCTCCTCTTCCTTCAGCTTTGCTGTCACTACAGAGGCAGGCACCACCTCCCAGTCACACTGCATGTTCTCCTACATTTCTTTGGTCCTGAGATGCCTTTGCCTGGACACTTTATTTATTTATTTGCCACAGGGCATGTGTGCTTGCCAGAGAGAGACAGAGAAAATGAGAGGGAAAGTGAAAACTTGCCCCCCAAAGGAGATAGCCATGCTGCAATCCCTTCTCCTTCATTCTCTTCCTGGGATTTGGGGCATGTTATGCACAGGTGCCTGGCGTGATTTTCAAGCTGCCAGGTCCGGGATTTGAACTGCTGTTGACCATATGGGAATCTAGTGCCTTAGCCACCATGCCACCTGCTGGCCCCCCAGCTTGCACACCTTTAAAGCTGAAAGTCAAATGTCTTCAGACCACTGCTGGAATCGTGCCATGGCATGGCCCATGTGCTGTCTCAGGTATGGGCGATGCTCTTGTTGTGAAAAATCGGTCCTGAGGCACGTCTCCTCCGCCTCCCCAGATCCCTCTTCTTTATTAATGAGCCCAATTACTTGGCAGATTCAGGAAGCGGAGGTGGAAAGAATAGACATAAAGTATCTCATACACACTTAATCCATCTTTCACTTTTGCTTTTCTTTCTCTTGCTTTTTCTTCAGTGATAGCAATTATAAAAAGGCCAGCCTTAGAGAGATATGGAGTGCTAGTTTCTGTCTTATGGTAAGAACCTGATGAAAATGAGCCTCTTCTTCTTCTTCTTCTTCTTCTTCTTTTTTTTTTTTAGATTTTTTTGCGTGCGCTCGCCAGACAGACAGAAAGAGACAGAGAGATAGAAAGCGAGAAATCGTCCCCCGGGAGGATGGCCACACCACAATCCCTTCTCTATTCTCCTCTCGGGATCTTGGGCACGCACACACACACGCCCGGTGTGAGTTTAAACCACTGGGTCTGGGACTCAAACTGCGATCGGCTACATGGGAGTCCAGTGACATAGCCATTACACTAACTGCTGGTCCCAAGCCTCTTCTAAGTTTAATGTGTTATCAGTTCTAAGATGCACCCTTTTTCATACATTAATATCTCTGAGATCAGGATGTATCTTACATTTTTTTCTTTCTTTGTGGTACTATATACAAAAATAAAAAGTAGATCTTATGTTGATGGTTTCTTTTTTCTTTTTAAAGAATTATTTATTTAATTTGATTTATTTTTCTTCTTCAATTTGATTAGAGAGAGAAGAGAGGGAGAGTGAGAAAGCAGGCTGCCAGGTCTGGAACTCGAACCATGGTCAGCCATGTGGGAGTCCAATGCCTCAACCACCGTGACATCTTCTGGCTCCAACGTTGATGGCTTCTTAAATTTGATGAAATAAGCTATGTGAAAATATATTTAAAATATAAATATTATAAAATATAAATAAATAAGTTTTATTATTTGATATCAATACTAAATATCAGTGTTAAAAATGAGATATTGCCACATTGTTCTAAACTTATATAATTTTTGAATAATTTATTATTACTATATTTTTATTTGACCAGAGAAAGACAGAGAGAGAGAAAGTGAGAAAGCAAGCCAGGATTCAAGTCATGATTGCCCATGTGGGAGTCCAGAGCCTTAACCGCCATACCACCTGCCAGGCCCAAAGCTTATATAATTTTGAGAACGTGGTTCCAAAGCATTCTAGCACATTCCTTTACACAAGCAGCACTGTGTACAGGTCTATTCTGCCATATTTTGTAAGCTGTTTGATACTATCTACATGAAGAGCAGACACAAAACCTTATGAGCAGATGGGTACCAGCAGATGGCATGGTGGTTAAGGTGCTGGACACTCTCACATGGGTGACCACGATTTGAGTCCTGACCTGGGGGCTTGCTTTCTCAATACCCCACCTCTCTGGTCAAATGAAAATAAATGAATGAATAAATAAAATTAAATAAAGAATTCTTTTATTATTATTATTTTTTAATAATTACTACAGGGCATGTGCACTCACCAGAAAGACAGAGAGAGACAGAGAGAAAGAAAGCGAGAAATCACCCCCAGGGGGGATGGCCATGCCACAATCCCTTCTCCTTCAGTCTTTTCTCAGGATCTTGGACATGTACACACACGTGCTTGGCGTGAGTTTAAGCCACCAGATCTGGGACTGAAGCCACACAGTCAGTCTTGTGAGAGTCCAGCAACATAGCCATTTTGCCAACTGCTGGTCCCTAAATAAATAATTCTTTTTTATTAAAAAAAAAACAACTTATGAGCAGAAATACTGAGCAAAAAGTTTGTATGGAAGAATCAACTGCCGAAGGGACCAGAGATAATGGGTGAGAGTTCAGGAATGGAACCTCTAGGCCCAGCTTGGTGGCAGTCAGTAACACGCTGAACTGCAGTGCTGGAAGCCACATGGCCAGCTGTGTGTTCAGATCCCCAGCTGGTCTACCTGAAACACTGGAGCACACACCTGTCCAAGATCCTAATGAGCTGGCGGGCTGGGGGACAGGGATTGTGGGTGATGGGACTCTGTGCAAGGTGCTCCCTCCCTCCCTCTCTCTCTGTCTCTCTCTCACGTGCTCTCTCTTCCTCTCATGTGTACACACGCTCTCTGTTACGAATAAAATAAATAAACTGAGGCCAGTCCCATGGTAGTTAAGGGTCTACATGGCTGACTCCCTAAAAACATGCAGTCCCTGTGTCTGTGCACATCCAGCAGGACCGAGACTGGGGAAGAATGGATTGCGGTATGACCGTGCCCCATTGGCGGGTGCTTTTGCTCTCCTTCTCTCTCTCTCTCTCTGTCTTTCTCTGGCAAACACATGCACCCTCTGGCAAATTAAAAATAAGAAAAAAAAACTTTAAAAATAATTAGAGAAAAAAAAAAAAGAAGAGAATCTGGGGCTCAGAGCCTCAGTCCCACGCTAGGCTGACACTCTGATCTAGTCTGCATGCTTCTCCCCATGAAACGAGAGCCAAAAGTTAGTGTTAGCAGATAGCCACCCGGCCTGTGTGGTGACAGTGGAGGTCGCCCGACAGCTCGGCCTGGAGTTCATTGTTCCTTAATACCTTCCTTATATTCTACTTACTTCCCTATCACTAGCCTGGGGAGTCAGGCAGACCAGACTCTTCCATTGTCCTCTGCACCTTCTCATGCCACTTCTCCAAACCCTGGTGAGGCCAGGAGCCCCAACATAGGTCATTGTCACCTTCTCCTTCACTTACCCATTCTGTCCAAATGACTTAGGCCAGAAACTCCCCAGGGCAACAACCATCTGTGTGATCATGGGAGACTGCATGCAGTATGGTATTCCATAAATAATTCACTGTCATCACTGCAGACGCGAGGAGCTCTGAGTAACCAGAGAGGGAGGACAGCGAGGGGTCTAAGTACACGCAGGCGTGCACACGCCAGGGTGGCCTTTCTCAGTGGCTGTGGTCCATGGTCTTCCATCCTGAGTTTTTTCCATACTTGATAGCTTTTAAGGCGTTAAACGGGGCTGTGGCCAACTCTTTCTCTGGATGCTTGGGCTGGGGCCTGGCTGCCGAGAACTTTTTCCTGCTGTAGAGGCAGCAAGGGAATTGTGGGCTCCGTCCAAGTCCGAGCCAAGGAGCTGGCGTGACTGCAGTGACTGGGGAAGGAAGGCAGCGATGAGAAGGATGTGCAGAGTCAGAAACGTCTGAGGCCAGGGAGCCACTTTGTGTGTGAAAACTCTTCTCTGGCACCCCAGATGCATCCGCTTTCCACGGCCTTGGCATACCCTGAGTGATGGGAGGTCAGGGAATACTATTTTGAGGTGCGTAGGGAGGGACAAGAGGCTGCTAGATACACAAGCCTGCATGTGGGAGGTGGACAAGGGCAGCCAGACTGTGCTGAACCCAGAGCTGTTCTTTAACCTTCACTCCCGTTGCTGCATCGCTCCTGGGTGTTCTGTCTTTGCCAAAACCACACAGGGAGGAAGCTGCTGAGACAAAGGGGTGACCTCGGAGCCAATTTCTATTCCTAGTCTGTGGCTGACCCTGGCAAGTGACTTTGATCAGGTCATTAACCGTTCCTATGGTGACTACATCAGATTCTGACCTGTGTTAAGGAACGCCCATGAAAATGGATAAGTGGAGATTTTAAAGTACTTTGAGCACTTAGAAAAGATAAACAAATAATATCCCTGTGTTTGGAGCCCGTGTTGTGGGCCGCCCTTGAATTCTGGCTCTCCATACCCTGGCCATGCTCTGTTCTTTGCTTGCTGACCGGTGTAGGTCACACTTAGGATTAGCGATCACAATAGCTAACACCTATGAAATGTTCGCTATTGGGAGCTTTAACACCCATGGCAATACGAGGAGCCAGAGGGGAGGAAACGCAAGTCCAGGGAGGTGAATTCACTTTCCCAAAGCTGTACGGTCCATAAGCCAGAGCCAGTATTTGAATTCTGGCTTCCTAAGTTCAAGGTCTGCTCTTAACCACAGTATTACAGTATATATATTATTATTATTATATATATATTATGTGTATATATATATATTACAGTATATATATATTATATATAGTATATATATTATTTTTGCCATAGGGCATGTGTGCTCACCAGAGAGAGACATAGAGAGAGATGAGAAATCACCTCCCAATTGGGGATGGCCGTGCTGCAATCCCTTCTCCAGTCTCCTCTCAGGATTTTGGGCACACACACACACACACACACACACACACACACACACACATGCCCAGTGTGATTTCCATGCCATCGTGTTCAGGACTGGAACTGCCGTCGACCATGTGGGAGTCCAGCACCTTAACCACTGCACCACGTACTGGCCCCCATTAAAGCACATTAATAACCTGGTAATTAATCGTTACTAAGCACTTGCTGTGTTCAGCACTGAGCCTGGTGTATGGGAGACATGGAGCTATATAAACAGACAGGAGATAGGTGAGGGGTGGGTGCTAAGTTAGTGAAACCAACATTTTTCCAGAAACCTGAGGAAAGACAGATCAGTATGGGTGGGACTTTTGGAGAAAACCTCATAGAGTAAGGCTTGAGCTTATTTTATTTTTATTTTTTTATTCTTTTAAACAAAACATTCAGACTCCCTGGGATCATAGTTCTGGAAAGATGCTAGTTTGTCTTGGTTGTGGGGAGAAGGACTTGGAGTAGAGGCTATTTCACGATTAAATTTGGAATCTGCTCCATACGCTGGCTTGTGCTGAGTCCCAGCGTGCTCTGCCTTTTGAAGGCTCTGCGACGTTCTGCAGTAAAGAAACCTGAACATTTTCCAAATGTTTTTGGTCGTAGAACAGTTTTTTTCATAGAACTTGTATTGATATTCCATAGACTTTCAAGTTTGGGAACCACTGATATGAAGGAAAGCACCCCATTGGAAATAGAAGTAGTTTATAACCTTTAGCAACTTAAAATCAAACTCCTATGTAACTTTCACCTTTATGGAATCAGTACTCATCAGCATCCGTCTTTTGACATTTGGTTGTTTTCCTCCTGTGTTTACCAAGCTACTACCCCAGCCAGACTATGGATGTCTCAAATGCAAATACTTGACTGGTGTTTCTTCTAATCCCCCAAGGTGCCTCCCACACCTCGTCTAAAAGAAGGTCAATAAATATTTGTTAGTTTAAAAACAGAGATGGAGAACAGAGGGAAGAAAATGAAGGGGGGGGGGAACCCCACACTTGAAATGATAGCAATTATTGGTAATTTGCAGCTGATTACTCAGTTGTTAAATGCTATTCACCAATCAGTACTCTTTGAAAGACTAGCAAGTTGTTTAAAATGCAAAATAATGTTAATTTTTGTCTTGGCCTTGGTGGGAGCTGAATCTGTAGTTAGAGATAGCTGGCTTTCAAGGTGACTTCTAAAATACAACCCCTGCCCCCCACCTGCCTTTTTCTTCTTTTTCTTTTCTATTTTTTGGTGCTATAGGGCAAGTGCACATACCAAGACAGACAGAGAGAAGGAAAGTGGTGATGGCCCCAACCTGGATCACGCCACAATCCCCTCTCCTCCATGTCTCCCTCCTATAGGGATTTTGGGCCAGCATGCACACACACCTTCCTTGCTTCTCAAGCTGCTGGGTCCAGGACTCAGACCATGCAGTCAGCCATGTGAGATTCAGCCGCCTTCACCACCACACTACCGGCTGGCCCACATCTCCCTTTCTTAGCTTAGGCTGCTTTTGCTGAACTGGAGGTGCCCAGGAGGGTGGCTCTGGCTTGTCAGAGATTTGATGGCTGGGCCAAGAATCTGACAGAGAACTCTGGGGCACTGTGACCGAAGAAGCAACAGAATGGTTGCTTGTGAAGTCACTGCATGGGGAAAACTAACCGAGGGGGAGGTGGAACTCACAATTAAAACTGCAAGTGACACTTTAAAATTTGTTTTTCTCTTTTTTTGAGAGAATTTTGCTATAGGGCGCTTGCCGGAGAGACAGAGAGACAGAAAACGAGAAATTACTACCTCAGGGGAGGTTGGCATGCTGCAATCCCTTCTCCTCCATTCTCCTCTCGGGATCTTGGGTACACACACACACACACACACACACACACACACACACGCCAAGTGTGAGTTTTAAGCCACCAGGTCTGGGTCTTGAACAGCAGTCGACTCTGTGGGAGTCCAGTGACATAACCACTAAGCCATGTGCTGATCTTGCGAGTGACACTTGATTTGGTGTCTTGGGATGGCCTCAGATGCAGTCTCCTGTCTGAAGAGGCCTCCGTTCCATCCTCCTCAAACCCAGTGCAGAGGGTTGGAGAGAGAACCATTCAAGAGTTTTGAGATTTTGAGGGTCTACAAACCTGTGAGTTTTAAAGAGTCTTCCCGTCCAGACTTCTTAACCCGCTCTAGTGTTGAAACTTCTCCACCCTGGGAGAAGTAATTCATAAACATGTGAGTGACACCTCTGAGGCATTTGGTGAGAAAGGGGCAATTTCATCACCTTCCTCCACTCCCACCCCTACTCCTGCCTTTTTTTTTTTCTCCAGGAGGATGGGAGAAAGGAGAGGGTAGGGACCCCGCATAGGACGAAGGTATCTCTAAACATTCATAGCTCTTTGGCTCAGGAAAATTCTAGTTCCTGTGGGGAAAATTGATCTTGTTTAATCTTGGTTAGGTCCCTAGTGTGAGCCTCACAGGCATTTTGTCCTTGGTGTCGGAACCAACCA